TCTTCTCTTCTCTTCTCTTCTCTTCTCTTCTCTTCTCTTCTCTCCTCTCCTCTCCTCTCCTCTCCTCTCCTCTCCTCCTTCACCTTCACCTTCACCTTCACCTTCACCTTCAGTTCGAATGTGCCTTCCTGAGGTTCGAATTCTGTACTCGGAGGAAGAGGCGCCAGATCTGGCCAGAAAGGGAGCCGCTCAGCTTCCTTCCATCTATTCCCCTCAAGGCTAAATGGGGGGGGGGGGGGGGGGGGGCTGAGCTCACGAATTCTTAGCAACTGAAGCACATCAAAATACTTCCTTAAATAACCCCTAGGGCAGGAAACAATATGTCAGAGCACATTAAAATTGAAAAACCATTTCCCCTTAAAGTGGCAGGCTGGGGGAGAAAGGAACCAGAGCACTCCTGTTTTGAAAAGGGGGAAAAAAAAGAAGAAAATAAAAGCAACAAGGAGCTGAAAGAAAGTCCTTTCCTAGCCTTTTTTTCCCCCCCATTTGTGAACAATATCCTCCCTTAATTCTTTGCGACGGGCCTGCAAGGTAGACCAGCTGGATCGACATGGGTGTCCTCCGCTTCACAACCGTAATAGAGGTCAGAGTTTCCATCCTAAATCATGACCCTCACCAGTGTCACCAGATTGGATTTGATGATTTCAACCATTGCTGAAAAAGTCATAAAATCAGGCACAATTCACCGAAACAACTGCCTTGCTTTCAAAATACGACCGAACTATGTTGATCAATTGATGAAAATTTGAAACTTGAAAACAGCGGCCTTGCTTAGCGATGGAAACCCTGTTTTGAGTGTAGTCACAAATTGAGGACTACCTATATGGAGGCCAGGTTTTATTTTTATTCTGGGTCTTATTCTATGTTACACCAGGCTTAACCCTCTTCTGAATTTTACGCTCAGGTTTGAAACGGGGGGGGGGGGGAAGGATGCATTTCTGTCTGGGAAATGCAAAACTGCATTTTTGGTGGGAAAATGGCATTTTTGTTGGGTGCAAAGATGCCATAAAATTCAGGGAACAGTCACAATTGGAATCGTTCATTACATTTCTACCCTGCCCAACTCTCTGCGACTCTGAGGGGCATAGAGGCAGGATCTGATGCTGTCAAGGTGTTGCAGGACAACTCAACACGGGCAGTTCGTTGTGGGGACAACTCATTGTGGGTGTCTGGATGGAGACCTGGGCAGGCAAGTGAGTGAGCAGGTGGGCTGTCAACTCTGAAGGTGATCTGGCTGAAGCCATTTGTTCCCTACCTCATAGTTGCCACGATCTTTGAAAGTGGGGAGGGAGGGGAGGAAGCGGATAGACCGGCTATCAGTCAAAACAAAAAGTTTTCTTGTGGGAACCAAGGTCATCCCAACAGATGGCAAGTGGAGAGGAGTGACCAAGCAGCCTCCCAGCTACCTTCATTGGACAATGTGATTGGTGACACCTGGGAAAGGAAATATTTGCTCTTTTAACTAGGGGGAAAACTGCAGGAAACTTTAGAGTTGGTTTTCACTAGCTTTGCCAATATGATGTGTCCAACAAACATGTCCTTTGTCATGCCCCTATCGGAGTCTGAATCCAAGGAGGAAGCCGAACAGCTGACAAGAAGTGGGCAAAGTCCAGCTGGGCAGAGCAGGAGAGAGGTAGAACAAGGGAGCGGGAGTTGGGGGGAAGACCCAGGCCCACCGCCTCTTTATCGTAGGGCACGCAGGGAGGAACAGAGAAGAGAGCAACATGGGTTGCATGGGAGGAAAAGGCCCTGATTCCCTTCACTAGGCACACCTGGGAACACAGTTTATAAGAAAGGCAGGCTGCGTGCAACAAGCTGTTGGGAGCAAATGTGACTTTATCTTGTGTTGTCATTGCTTATCTGTGTTCCTGGCATCTTCCCAACTGTGTGAGTTTTGCCGTGCCTTCAAGTCTGAAATTCTTGCTCCTGCCCTGCCAAGCTAATTACTTCAGTTTGGTTTGATTGGAATTAAAGTGACAGTTTGTGTTGATAAGGTGACTTAACTATCCTCCTTTAGGGAGGACAGTCCTCCTTTTGTAAGTTCTGTCCTCTCTCGAAAAGTGTCCCCCTACATATATCCTCCTTTTTGATATTTGCAGACTAATCTGTAAATCTCCGTATTTGATCAGTGCCGATCCGATCCGTTGTGTGAGATGTGACGTATCTGTATTTGACATGACGATTCGTCAAGGCTCGGTACAGTGCGGCGAGACGCGATTATGAGACGCATGCGCTCCACACAGGAGAATTGTTTTGAGACAGTGTGCCATGAGCAAGAGTGCGCCATGCGCAAGTGGCTTTATTTTTTTTCTTCAATTTATTTGTGTCCTCCTTTCCATTGTAAAAAAAGTTGGTCCATGTTTTGGACTTCATTTTCTGCAGTCAAAGGCTGTTCCTGGGAGAGTTTTTCTTCAGCCAGAAGGTAACCTGGACATTGGGGGCAAAGCTGGAGATAATAAAGGGACTCTTATTGATTATCTGGCTGTGTTGCCTTTATGCCACGCCCTTTGGGTCATCACATTATTTTATTTTATTTATTTATTTATTTGATTTGTCAATTGTTTACAAGATAATAAGTATAAGTGTATACATAGTTATGAATACATGAAATGGGTACATATAAGAAAAATAAAAGAAAAATAAAAGAAACAATAGGACAGGGACGGTAGGCACATTGGTGCGCTTATGCAGGCCCCCTACAGGCCTCTTAGGAAAGGGGTGAGGTCAATAGTAGACAGTCTAAGGTTAAAGTTTTTGGGGTTTGGGGAAGAAACTACTGAGTCGGGTAGAGTATTCCAGACATTGACCACTCTGTTGCTGAAGTCGTATTTCCTGCAATCAAGTTTGGTGCGGTTAACCTTGAGTTTGTATCTATTGTTTGCTCTTGTGTTGTTATGGTTGAAGCTGAAGTATTCATTGACAGGTAGGACATTGCAATGTATGATTTTATATACCATACTTAGATCAGACCGGAGGCGGCGTAATTCAAGGTTTTCTAGTTCTAGAATTTCAAGTCTGGTGGCATAAGGTATTCTGCAACGCGTAGAGGAGTGGAGAACTCTTCTTGTGAAATATTTCTGGACTTTCTCAATTGTGCTAATATTAGATACGTAATGTGGGTTCCAGACTGATGAGCTGTATTCAAGTATTGGTCTAGCAAATGTTTTGTATGCTCTAGTTAGTAGTGTGATATTACCAGAGAAAAAGCTACGTAGGATTAGGTTAACAACTCTTAATGCCTTTTTGGATATGTAGTTGCAGTGGGTTGCAGACATCCTTTGAGAAGTCTTCCTGCCTTGGAATTCTGCTTTTGGTGGATGTGTTACTCTGAACCTTGACACAGGCACAGTGACCACAGCGTCCTCCCATCCACCAAATCTTCCTTGCTCTGTCCTCTGCCACCACCACCGAATGGTCTGAACTTGGAATACCCCGGAACTCAGCATAGAGGCAACGGCAATGGGGAATATAAAAAATGCAGGATTCAGTCTGGATCAGTTACTAGGACCAGTCTTCTGAGTTTCTGGACTCGTGTTGTAGTCCATCTTTGGGGAACTTCTCTCTAGCAATTCGAGGTGTGGTATTCAAATGGTGCTTGTTGTATGTGGTTTTTTTTAGATTCTGATTGCGTTGTGTTGGTGGCTGGCTTTTAAGCCATTGGCTGTCATTTGCTTGTGCTGCCCAGCCCCCCACCTTCTAAGTACTTGATAGGCTAAGCAAATCAGCCAATCAGCACTCTTGTTGACTGATGGGTGGTGGTGGTCCATTTCCCAGGCTTCCATCGCTTCCCTGGCTGTTTTTGTGCCTGCTCGTCCAACAATCTTAATAGCTGCAAAGTTGGATGTGTGTCCTTGTACATTGCAGTGTGAAAATGGGAAGCCCACCGCTGCCGCCGCTGCCGCTGTTTGCTCTGCCCACTCGCTCAATCGCTTGCCAACCTGCCCACCTGGGTCTCCATCTGGGAACCCACAGAAAGTTGTCCTCGTAGAAAATGGCCTGTGTTGAGTTGTCCCACAATGTCTCAGTGGCATTTAGTCGGTAGAGGTGACTTGGCGGTAGTGAGGGACTCCTCCCTGGGTACTCACCCCCAGCCGGCCACCCTGAGTTGTCCCATTGTTCCACTGTATAACTGTAAAACTTTCCTGTAGACCTACAATGGATGGTATTAAGGAAAATCATGTGTAAAATGGGGAAATGTTAACGGTGCATGCAAAACCACGTGAACTGGGGTAAAGTGATACGAAATTCAGACAAAAGGTATAAAATGGGGCAAAACTCACTTAACGACTCCCTTGCCTAACAACAGAAATTTTGGTTTCCGTTGTGGTAGTAAGTAAAGAACTGCCTGTACATTAAAAAAAAAAAAACCCAAGTCATTGTATTTATTTATTTTTCTTTTATTGGCCTTTATCAATTGCTTCTACAAGTCACACACACACACATAAAAAGGGAAGCCACAACCCTGCAATTGAAGCCTTACATTTTTTTTACAAGTGTTATGACTTTTTGGAAACATGCGCACAGACAAACAGACACACACAGACAGTATAACCTGGGTTAAACATCTTTCCTGGGTAGTTTTCAGCAGTTTGATAAGGCCTGTAACAATCTAGCCACAGGAAGCCATGTACAATGACTGAGGACAAGGAATAAATGCATGTATTCATTTATATGCCGGTGCGCTAAAGGCAGAATCTAACATTCACCAGGGCGAAAGAACATACGCAGCCTGGGAAAATGAAACGAGTCCTTTTTAAAACAGGTGTTCTGCAAAACGCGGCACCATTTTCCAGCAGGGAAGGCGGCTGGCTCTGCCCACCCTAGACTCTTAACGGAGCATGCCTTTGACAGGATAGAGTAGTTGGTGGAGAAAAAAGTCGACTCTAGGATGCAACCTCTTTGGATTCTGCAGACATGACATCCTCGGGGAAGACAGGTAGAATTAAAGCCTGTTGCTTTTGACTGTCTTCCAGATTTCCAATGTCCTGACTGGGTCTAAGATGAAGGTATGGAAGCTCGCAGCCATAGGCACCATGGTTTTCGGCTCCATGTTCTCCATTTTGGTTTGTAGAGACATGCTCAGCTGGAGCCTCAAATCCGCTACCTTCCCTTTGTCGCTGTTCTCCAGAACTGACACCACTGACGCCTCCTCCTCCTCCTCCTCTCCCTTGTTGGCCCCGGGATCCAGAAGATTTCCACGGGAGCTGGGACGCCGCAGGTCGCTGATCTCCCAGTGTAAGTCCTTGTGTCTGATCTTCCTTTTTCTCTCTGGTGCAATGGATGTGTCCAGGAATGGGGGACATCGCATCCAAGGGGTTTTAGCCAGAGGGGGGGATTCAAACGGTGTAACAACTGGTTCAGTGAGTGCGTGCTTCACGTGTGTGTGTAGCATTTGGAACTCACCTTCTGCCTTGTGTGTAAAACAGCTGACGCGTGAAGCGGCTGAGCTGGAAGACCTGGAAATACAGCACAGATTAGAGCCCGGGAAGGCGGGTGGGTCCAACAGCTGATCGTTGGAGTGAAACAGGTTTGCTCACAGCTGATCTTCGGAGCTACCAGTTCACCTGAACCGGGCCCACCGGTAGAATCCCACCCCTGGTTTTATCCCACTCTGAGGGCTTCAGTGGTGGAATTCAAAATATTTTACTACTGGTTCTGTGGATGGAAATACAGGACAGGAAAGGGTGGGGGCAGGTGGGCGGGGCCAACTGCTGACCGGCGCTACCAGATTGCTAGAACCAGTGCGAACCGCCAGCATGCCACCACTGGAGGTAGCCTGATCTCAGCTCATTTTCTACAGGTAGTCCTCGACTTACAACTGTTTGTGGAGTGACCATTCCAAGTTACAACATCACTGAAAAAAGTGACTTATGACACATTTCACACTTACAACCATTACAGCATCCCCATGGTCATGTGATCAAAATTCAGATGCTTGGCAACTGACTTGTACTTATGATGGTTGCAGTGTCCTGGGGTCACGTGATCCTCTTTTACAACCTTCTGACAAGCAAAGTCGATGAGGAATCCAGGCTGACTTGACTAACATGTTACTAACTTAACAACTGCAGCAAGGATTAAGTAAACACCGGTGGCAGGAAAGGGCGTAAAGTGGGGCAAAACTCACTTAACAAATGTCTCACTTAGCAACAGAGATTTTGCGCTCAATTATGGTCGTACATTGAAGGTTACATGTACTCTTAAGTGCAATTTGGCCTCAGGCTATTGGTCTATGTTAGGCTGTATAATTTAGTAGCCAGAACAGTATACAATGGGCCAGAACACATAGTTGGAGTTGATTGGTTGGAGAGTCCTGGCTCATGCAGGAGGCAATCTGTGCTATGATTGGTTGCTGTGGGTGTAAAGGAGGAGTTTCCCTTTTCCCCCACCTTTTTTCTTCTGTGTGTTCTGTATATCATTAAGAGTTACCTCACGATATTCCTATGTGCCTAATTATCTTTGTTCATGCATGAGGCAATCTGCGCTGTGATTGGTTGCTATGGGTTTAAAGGGATGTCCCTTTTCCCCCGCCTTTTTTCTTCTCTGTGTTCCGTATATCGTTTAGATTTACCTCACGATGTTCCTGATTATCTTGTCTGCTCATGCATGAGGCAATCTGCGCTATGATTGGTTGCTGTGGGTGTAAAGGGGGAGTTTCCCTTTCCCCCCGCCTTTTTTCTTCTGTGTGCTCTGTATATCATTTAGATCAGAGGTCTCAAACTTAATTTACCTGGGGGCCGCTGGAGGCAGTGTCTGGGTGAGGCTGGGCCGCATAAGAGATTCCATAAAAAACGTTGTTAAAAAAATATCCTCAAATGTCATCAACAGTTAATGATTTCTCCAATACCTGAACTGTCCTGAACACATGAATAGAACATTGAATGAAGATCATGAACAGTTCCTCAGAACATGGCTTCTCCAGCTTACTCCTTGCTGCCAGAGACTTGACAACGCTTCCTCTCACATATCTGAGCCACATTTGGCTTGAGAGAGGAGGCACTTGAGACCCTCAGTATGGCTTGAAGATGATCATCAGTAAGTCTGGACCTGTACTTGGACTTGTTAAAGTTCAGGGTGGAGAAGAAGCCATGACGAGGAACTGCGGGCGGGACTTCCTTCAGAGGTCCATTCCCCTGTGGGCCGCACTAATATTATACTTTCATATCATGATGGGGACCACAGGATATCGTCCTGCAGGCCGCAATTGGCCCGCGGGCCGCGAGTTTGAGACCCCTGATTTAGATTTACCTCATGATATTCCTATGAGCCTAATTATCTTTGCTCATGCATGAGGCAATCTGCGCTATGATTGGTTGCTATGGGTTTAAAGGAGTGTCCCTTTCCCCCCGCCTTTTTTCTTCTCTGTGTTCCGTATATCGTTTAGATTTACCTCATGATGTTCCTGATTATCTTGTCTGCTCATGCATGAGGCAATCTGCGCTGTGATTGGTTGTTGTGGATGTAAAGGGGGAGTTTCCCTTTTCCCCCACCTTTTTTCTTCTGTGTGCTTTGTATATCATTAAGATTTACCTCACGATATTCCTAGGTGCCTAATTATCTTTGCTCATGCATGAGGCAATCTGCGCTATGATTGGTTGCTATGGGTGAAAAGGGGGAATTTCCCTTTTTTCCTGCCTTTTTCTTCTGTGTGTTCTGTATATCGGTTAGATTTACCTCGTGATGTTCTTGTGTTCCTGACTATCTTGTCTGCTCATGTATGAGGCAATCTGCGCTATGATTGGTTGCTGTGGGTGTAAAGGGGGAGTTTCTTCTTTTCCCGCCTTTTTCTTCTCTCTGCCCTGCATGCTGTTGAGATTTACCTCACGTTGTTCCTATGTGCCTAATTATCTTGTCTGCTCATGCGTGAGGCAATCTGCACTTTGATTGGCATGCTGAGAAAGTCAAAGGGGTGCACGATTTGCAGCTTCTCATACCAATGCACACCATTGGACACACTACCTGTGACCACAGTAGGTCCACAAGGATTAGCGGTTCCCTGATATTCCAGCTGATTTTTTTTTTTTAAAAAAAGATCCCTCTTAAAGGTGGACATTTAGAACAGAACAAAACATAATAACAGAGGTGGAAGGGACTTTGGAGGTCTTCTAATCCAACCACCACATCCAAGCAGGAGAGTCGGTACCTGTGAATGGCGAACCTATGTCACACATGCCGGAACTGGTATGCAGAGCCATCTCTCTGGGCCTCCCGTTGCTCTTCTGTGATCCAGCCTGTGCATGCGGGCTGGCCAGGTGGTCTTCATGTGAGCAGGAGCGCTAGAAACCAGCAGCTCCACTGAGCGCATGTGCGCGCCAGCCAGCTAGTCTTTGTGTGCACGTGCTTGTTAGAAACTGGAAGACCAGGTGGCTGGCGTGCACGCGTGTGCCGAGAAAGTAAACTTCCGGTTTCCGGTGCGCATGCTCGTGTGCTGGCTCCCGTTTTGGCACTTGGCGCCGAAAAGGTTAACCACCACTAGCCTATACCATTTGAGACAAGTGATTCTCCAATCTCTTCTTAAATGCCTCCAGTGATGAAGCACCCACAACTTCTGGTGGCAAGCAGTTCCCCTGGTGAAGTGTCCTCACTGCTAAGGAAGTTTCTCCTTCACTCTAGTTTGCTTCTCTCCTTGATGAGTTTCCATCCATTGCTCCTTGACCCGCCCTCAGGTGCTTTGGAGAAGAGCTTGACTGCCTCTTCTTTGTGGCAACCCCGGAGGTATTGGACCATTGCTATCCTGTCTCCCCTGGTCCTTCTTTTCATTAAACAAAACCAAGGGTCTTCAAACTTGGCAAGTTTAAGACTTGTAGACTCCTAGAATTCCTCAGCTAACATGACTGGAAGAGGAATTCTGGGAGTGGAAGTCCACAAGTCTTAAAGCTGTCCAGTTTGGAGACCCCTGAACTAGATATGCCCAATTCCTGCAACCGTTCTTCCTATATTTTAGTCTCCAGTCCCCGAATCCTCTTTGTTGCTCTTCTCTACACTCTTTCTAGAGCAGTGGTTCTCAACCTGTGGGTCGCGACCCCTTTGGGGGTCGAACAACCCTTTCACAGGGGTCACCTAAGACCCCTGGAAAACACGTATTTTCGATAGCCTTAGGAGCTGTAATTTTATGGTTGGCATTAGGAATGTTGAGAATCACCGCTCTAGGGTCTCAACATGGTTTTTTACAAGGTGCCTTCAGGTGCTTTGGAGATTAGGTTGACCCCCTCTTCTTTGGGGCAGCCCCTCAACTGTTAGAATGAGGATATCCTGTCACCCCTTTTCATTAAAATAGAAGACCCCCTTTTCTGAAACTGCTTCTCTCCGAAGGAAACAGACATCTAAAACAGAGATAATCAGTTAATCGCACCAAGATTGCCGCAAGGAAAGACTATCCGGTCCAACTGACTGCTTTGTGGAAGGCTAATCCCCATAACCCTTTTTTGCAATTAAATCCAGATCCCCACCTCCCGAGTCAGCGGGAACAAAGACGGATCAACTGGAATTGCGGCTGTTTGAGCAGAAAACAAAGGCTGGGATACATTTGGGTCCCCCTCCGCCCGCGATTTGTGGTGGGCTTTTATTTGGATTTAATTGTACGCTTGTGTAGGAATGAGACTCGTATGAGAGGCAGTTGATTAGGGTGGATCTGTGTAGGAAATTAAATCAAACTTGGAAGGATTAGGGAGCCCCTCTGAAAGGCTGTAAGGGCAGCAGAACAGTTCAATTCAGAACAGAGCTGGAAGGGACCTTGGAGGTCTTCTAGTCCAGCCCCCTCTCCTCAAGCAAGAGATCCTATACCATTCCGGACGAGCGACCGTCCAGTGTCTTCTTAAACACCCCCAGTGATGGAGCAGCCACAACTTCTGGAGGAAGGTCATTCTACTGATGTACTGTTCTTACTCTCGGGAATAATAGAGCAACAGAGTCGGAAGGATCTTGTAGGTCATCTAGTCCAGTGGTCACCACCCAGTGGACTGGGAAATACTGATGGTCCATGACAAAATTTTGGTGTCCGCAGAGGAATGTTCCCCTCAAAGCAATTAATCCAGGCTGCACAGAAACACAAGGCTGCACCGCCCGCATGGCCCGCGGGAACACAAGGGTTGCGTCGCTTGACTTGCGAACAACACAAAGTAGTGAGGGGAGGGGGAAAGGGCGGGGGGGGGAATTTGCCCCACTCGCCCCCTGCGCCTGGCCTGGCCACCGGGCTGCTTCTTTCTTCTTTTTTTTTTCTTCTTTTGGCTGCACGCAGGGAAAGCAGCCAAAGTCTTCCTTTCTCTCCCCCAAACTCCGCCAGAAATGAGTCTTTGGGACCCTGCAAGGCCTCCTGCTCCGAGAGGCTGCGCTGGCAAAGGCTCCTTTCTGGTGGAGTTTGGGGGGAGAGAAAGAAAGACTTCTGCTGCTTCTGCTGCTTTCCTTGCATGAAGCCAAAAGTCTCTCCTCTCTCTCTCCCCCTGAGAACGGAGCTGGAGACGGTATCCTGCGATCCCAAATAAAGAACGATCGATCGGTAGGAAAACAGGGCGGGGGATTTTCCTGTAGACTTTTTTTTGGATTTTCCCAGGGTCTCTGGTCCGCGGGATTTAAAATGATGGGTTTGGTGGTCCCTGAGGTCCAAAAGGTTGGCGACCCCTGTTCTAGTCCAACCCACTGCTCACGCAGGAGCCTCTGTGTCATTTCTTGAAAACCCCCAACGATGGAGCACCCGCAATTTCTGCAGGCAAGTCATCCCACTGACGAATTGCTCTCCCCATTAGGAAGTTGCTCCTTCGTTCCAGGTTGCTTCTCTCCTTGACTAGTTTCCATCCATCGCTTCTTTGCCTGCCTTCAGGTGCTTTGGAAAATAAATGGACCCCCTTTTCTTTGGGGCAGCCCCTCCAATACTGGAATGCTGCTATCATGCCCTCCCCCGCCAGTCCTTCTTGTCTCTAGACTGCCCAAACTCAATTCCTGCAGCCGTTCGTCATATGTTTTACCCTCCAGGCCTTCAGTCCTCTTAGTGGCTTTTCTCTGCACATTTTCCCCAAAGTCTCAACATCGTCTTTATGTTGTGGTGACCAAAAACCGGGTGCCATATTCCAGGTGCGGCCTTACTAAGGTTTTACAAAGCGGTGCTAAGACTTCCTGGTGATTTTGATTGTGTTTATCGTATCCTGCTGCTCAAACACGCAAGGCTTGGAAATAGAAAATAATGGGATGGATGAGGCGTCCGGCGCATTAGCGCGCACAAAGCTTCCGCCGGTTGACATTATCCAGATTGACTCATTTCATGGGAATTTGGTCCGAAGGGGATGTCTGCCTTTGAGTAAGCGGTTGCTGGTGACCAGCCTTCCTGTCTCAGATTCCAGAGTCATAACTGCCTTCACTTGCACGGGCTGAGCTGGCCTTTAAAATGGGATTAGTCAAATGTTTATTCATGCTTATTACGCATCCTCATATATTGCACCAGCTCCCCGGGGAGGACGGAGGGAGTTCTATGCAGCAGATCAGAAGAATTTATGGACTTTGAGGAGCGAAACAACTGCGCGCAGTATTAAGTCATTACAAAGAGGTAGTAAGACAGTCTTAAGTCTTAGTACTTCTTTATAATGCCTTGGTAAGAGCGCACTTGGAATATGACATCCAGTTTTGGTCGCCACGATGCAAAACAGATGTTGAGACTCTGGAACGAGTGCAGAGAAAAAGCAACCAGTGCATAAGGGCACCATCATGCCTCCTATCCCTGTCCTATTGTCCCCATTTATTTGTATCTATTTCCTGTACTCTTACTCATGTTTATACTTATACCTATTCTCTTGTAAGCGACCGACAAATAAAATAAAATAAAATTAAAATAAAATAAATAAACCAGGATGATTTGAGGGGACTGGAGGCTAAAACATATGAAGAACAACTGCTGGAACTGGGTATTGAAGGGAAGGACTAGGAGTGACAGGATAGCAGTTTTCCAATATCTAAGGGGCTGCCCCAAAGAAGCTATTCTCCAAAGCAGTTGAGGGGCAGGACAAGAAGCAACGGGTGGAAACTCATCAAGGAGAGAAGCAACCTAGAATTAAAGAGAAACTTTTTAAAAAATATATAATTTATTAGTTTTTACAATTAAAACCAACCAACAATACATATACAAATGAATAAAAGAAAAGAATAGAAGAAAGAAAGAAAAGAAAAGAAAGAAAAAATTAGAAAAAAAAAAGTTAAAAGCATTCTTATTTTTACAGTTTGCAAGATCTTTTTTCATAACCTTTGATTTATGTCATATACACACACCTGTTCTTTACATATATCACTATATCATTATTATAGATTAATACTTTTCTCCTATGCCTTATGATATATAATTTATCTTTGATCAATCCAATTATACCAACAATTCCAGCTACCATAATATAGTGAAGTATCTTTGTTTTTTAGCACCAAAGTCAATCTATCCATTTCTGCACATTTTGAAATTACAAAAGAGCAGATCGAATATAAACCAGAGTCATTCCTGTTAGGGATTTTTGATAAACACATTTCCAAAAAAGCTAAATACATAACAATACATATTCTAACAGCGGCCAGACTAGACTTCGCTCAATATTGGAAACAACATCAAACTCCATTGGATGAAATGATTATCGAAAAAATTTCAAAATGTGGAGAAACTTTCTAACAGTGAGGACAATTCGCCAGTGGAACAGCCTGCCACCAGAAGTTGTGGGTGCTCTGGAGGCTCTTAAGAAGACACTGGACAGCCACTTCTCTGAAATGATATAGAATAGAATAACAGAGTTGGAAGGGGCCTGGGAGGTCTTCTAGTCCAACCCCCTGCCTAGGCAGGAAGCCCTACACCACTTCAGACAAAAGGTTATCCGACATCTTCTTAAAAATTTCCAGTGTTGGAGCATTCACAATTCCTGGTGGCAAGCAGTTCCCCTGGTTAATTGTTCTCACGGTCAGGAAATTCCTCCTTAATTCCAAGTTGCTTCTCTCCATAATTAGTTTCCACCCGTTGCTTCTTCTCCTGCCCTCAATTGGCTTTGGAGAAATAGCTTGACTGCCTCTTCTTTGGGGCAGCCCCCGAGACCCTGATATAGGGTCTTCTTCTTGAGCAGAGAGGCTGGACTAGAAGACCTCCGAGGTCCCTTCCATCTCTTTTATTCAAAGCCCCTGAAGGCCGGGCAAGAAGCAACGCATGGAAACGAAGGAAGAAGAGAAGCGACTTAGAACTAGAGGAGAAAATCCCGAACAGTCAGGACAATTCGCCAGTGGAATTCAGTTCACCTTCTGGAGCTGTGGGGCTCCATCATTGGAGGTTTTCAAGAAGAGACTGGACAGTCGCTTGTCTGAAATGCCATTGGGGTTGGTCTAGAAGACCTCCAAGGTCCCTTTAGACTCTGTTATTCTATTATTCCTGAGGGTAAGAACAGTAAATCAGCGGAACAGCCTTGCCACCCGAAGTTGTGGAGGCTCTCTCACTGGAGGTTTTCAAGAAGAGACTGGACAGTCGCTTGTCTGAAATGCTGTGAACAGTCTCCTGCTTGGGGGGGGAGGGGGGGCTGGACTAGAGGACCTCTAAGGTCCCTTTCAGCTCTATTCCGAATGGAATAGTTCCGCTCCACTTACAACCTTTCGGAGAGGCCCCTTAATCCTTCAGAGTTGGATTTAATTACCTACACAGGTGGCAGAGCTCCTACCTCAATCACTCAGTGACTGTGGGGATGCTGGGGTGGTCCTAACGGCGCCTCTTCGGCGCCCTCCACCTTTTGAATGGTCATTAAACAGAGCGGACATTAAGCAAGGACGATCTGCAATGCCTGCATGCACATATGTTTACATGCTCCAGAGAGAGAACTGGTCAGCCTGCACACAGATAAAGAACCCTGTCCCAGGTTCACAGACGCAATTACGACCACAACCGAGCCCAAAATCTACCTTGCAAGACTGTCGTTAAGTGAGTTTTGTCTCAATTTCCCGCCACATCTCTTAAGGGAACCCCTGCCTGTTGTGAAGCGAGTGAGACGGTCATTAAGTGAATCCGGCTTCCCCATGGGGAATTGCATAACTTCCTCGCCCACCCAGGAATTCTGCAACTGTTGTAACTATGAGTCCGTGACCGAGGGTCTGAATTTGGATCACGCGACCATGGGGAAGGCTGCAACGGTCATAAGTGTGAAAAACAGCCGTAAGTCCCTTTTGGGGGGGGAAAGAGCGTTGTAACTTTGAATGGCCACTAAACAAAGGACATCATGACGAGGCTTCCATTTTCTTCCCGAGGCCTCGTTGGGACACACAAGAATGTTTTTAGCATGAGGTAATAAACAGATTAGGATCTATTTATTCCTTTAAAAGATTTTAATGCAGCCACATTTCATATAAGCAGCCCTGGGCAGCTCCCAGTGAAAAGCCAAAGCACCGTAAAAGCCATATTACCCCTATAAAACGAAGCCCATTAAAACGTGAAGGGCAAACAAAAACCCTGGCACGAAGTCAGACCTCTCATTGGCACTCAGCTCGCCTTATCCCCAGCGCTTGGCGTGTGAAGGGAGGGAGGGAAGGAAGGAAGGAAGGAAGGAAGGAAGGAAAGGAGGGGAGGAGAGAAGGTAGAATAGAATAGAATGGAATGGAACGGAATGGAACGGAACGGAATAGAAAGGAATAGAACGGAATAGAACGGAACAGAATAGAATAGAATAGAAAGGAATAGAACAGAATAGAATAGAACGGAATAGAACGGAATAGAACGGAATAGAATAGAACGGAATAGAACAGAATAGAATAGAACGGAATAGAACGGAATAGAATAGAATAGAATGGAATGGAATGGAATGGAATGGAACGGAACGGAATAGAACGGAATAGAACAGAATGGAATAGAATGGAATGGAATGGAACGGAATAGAATGGAATAGAATGGAATAGAACGGAATAGAACGGAATAGAATAGAATAG